CCCCAAAACCCCAAAACCCCAAAACCCCAAAACCCCAAAACCCCAAAACCCCTAATGAAGGTTTTTGGTTGATGTAATTATAATCAAATAAATAAATAAAATGGTAAGTTCCTCTTAACTCATTTATATAGTTCGGATTTGGAGGCGGTGGCGCAGGCCCTTCTCATGGAGGAGGAGCAGGAGTTTTCATGAAGACTTATAAGGTGTACTCCAATGCCTTTATTGGTAGAGATGATATTAATAAAGGAAACAAGATTATCCTTCCAGGATCAGCTCTTCACGAACTTGCTCATCTTCATATCACCTATCCAATGACCTTTAGAGCTGTTAATACCCAATTGAAGAAGAAAACTTACTGAGGTGTTCTTGAATTCGTTTCCGAAGAAGGTACATGCTATATGCCATACTGGATGATGGAGAATTTAATGATTGGAGAAGGCGATGAAATCATGATAACTAGTGTATCTTTACAAAAAGGAACTTATGTGTCGATCCAGCCTCATGAGACTGCATTTATTGACTTGTATAACCCAAAGGCTATCTTGGAAACTGAGCTTACTAATTATTCATGCCTGATGGAAGGAGATACAATCAACATACACTATCAAGGGCAAGATTTCTTAATAGATATCGTAGAATGCAAACCTGAGAAGCAAATTTGAGTAGTAGAAGCTGACTTAAATCTCGAATTCAAAACTCCAAAAGACTACAAAGAAACCCCAAAGCTGTCAAAGAAGACCTCTAAACTTGTTGTTGATGAGAAAAAGATCAAGGAAATGAAGTTTGATGACAAGTTCACCAGGATTGATGGAAAGAAGCTCACAAAGAAACAGAAAGAAAAGCTATTTAAAAAGGCTCATGACAAATCAAAAGAAGATGGGTATGATCCTAGAAAGCATAAGCTGAAGCATGGCATCAAGAACTATGATGAGAGAATGAGAAAGAGAAAAGAGATGCTGGATAAAAAGGCTAAACGCATTTAGTTAATTACTGTTCAATTTATGACAACTATTAGGGGTTTTGGGGTTTTGGGGTTTTGGGGTTTTGGGGTTTTGGGG